GTTTGCCAAGCTTGGATTGTGGAAGAGGAAAAAGAGAACTTCTAAGACAGGTATAAGTTACAGGCTCTTACTCTGAATGTTTTACTTCTTTCCAACCATTAGTTTTAACTTAGGTATCTAGTAAGTTGGAAGCTTTTAGGGGATGGGCCCTGTCAGAATTTTGCCAATTTTAGGCATATTTTCAAGAGTGATAAACAAGCCCTGGCTGGTTTGGCTCGGTGGATGGAGTGTCAGCTTGAGGATTGGGGGGTCCCAGGTTCAATTCTGGTCAAGGGCAGGTGCTTGGGTTGTGGGCTCGATCCCCAGTTGGTGGCGTGCAGGAGACAACCAACATTTCTATCTCTCTCCTCCCTTTGTCTCTGAAATAAATAAAATAATATATTTTTTAAAAAGTGATAAATAAGAGAAACATCTTTAATTGCAGATTAGAAAATTTTAGTAATTTTTAGTAATTTTTTCAAATACTTTGTCATTTTTAATCATTTTTTTCAAATATTTTGTCTAGGTTTAAAATGAATTTTATGTCTAGAAAATTAGGGATTCAATTCTTTATTGGTAGGATTTGTAATATGTAAAGGGTAATGACAAAAATCATCTTAAATTGATATTGTTAGCAAGGGTGAAGGAAACTGGCTTTTTATTACAATATAAATTGATCCAACTTTTTAGGCTGGCAAATTGATAATATCTAATAAAACTTAAAAGATACATACTCTGCAATTTATTTCTGGAAATTCCATCTACAGATACACTTACATGCGTAAAGAAGGATATGTGTATTAGCATGTTTATTGCAACATTAGAATATTAAAACACTTGAAACAATCTAATGTTCATCATGATACATTAAATACAAAAATTTGGCATATTATGTATCAGTTAAAAAGAATAAGGTAGATCTATATGTAGACATAAAATGCAATCTGAGATATACTGAATGGAAAAAGAAACTGCATTTCAGTAAGTACACTATAAAAATGTGTGTAGAAAGAAAGAAAATATAGATGCACATTTCATATGCATGGAAAATATGTTGAGTGTAGTCACAGAAAACTGAAAGGATATATATCTCTAGGGGATGAGAGTAGGTAAAGCAGAAAGCATCATCTTTTATTTTATATGTTTTTTGTACTGATGGAAAATGTTTAAAATAACTATTATTTTCATTAAAAATAGCTTAAGTGCTTTAGAGTAAATAAAAATATAAGTGATCATATTTCATATTTGTCTCTATAAGGTAACAAGCTCATAATGCTGGGAAATAAATTCTCTTACCATGTACTCACACTTCATACACGTTGGCCTCACTTTGTGGCAGTCAAGTTGTACATAAATTAGCCTGTCCAATGGGCCAGTGTGGCTTAGTGGTTGAGCATCAACCCAGGAACCAGGAGGTCCCAGTTTGATTCCCAATCAGGGCACATGCCCACATTGCAGGTTGCAGGCTTAATCCCCAATAAGAGGTGGTTAGGAGGCATCTGATCAATGATTTTCTCTCATCATTGATGCTTCTCTCTTCCCTTCTCCCTTCTTCTCTGAAATCAATAAAAATATATATATTAAAAAGTTTTACATAAATTAGGTGATGTTCTACCCCTTCTTTGGTATATTGAACTCTTTGTCTATGGTCTAAGCTTTTTTGACAAGTAGTAAAAGAACTCTCTCTTATTCCTTTGCCATTTCTCTTGGAGTACAAAGTGAGGAACTGTCATTCAAATTGCCCAACTGGAAGTAGAAATCACATACCAATCTCTCATGCTTTAAATCTTTGTACAGGCAACTCTTTCACAGGCATGTAATTATAGTTAAAGCAATGATTCTGCAAGTACAACCTAATGCTTAAAGTCAGATGGCTGGCCAACTCTTAAGTGGGTTAAGTGAAATATAATAAAACCAAACAAACTGAAGGATTACTAGAAGTCCTTGCAGCACGACAAATTAAAGATTTTCTACATCATCAAATTTAAGTACTGTTTCAATTTTAAGTTACAGAGGGATGTTTAACATTTGACTTGCGTGATACTGTATAATATAAACCAAGACAGGTTTTAATCCCAGTTTACCAAAGTTTCCATCAGATATAACTATCTGCTTCACTGTCTTCAGTAATAGGCTTACTTTAACTCAGGCAAAGGAGAAATAGTTTTCTATCTCAACCCACAATTTTGAAAAGTGTTTAATCCATGGTAAACTCTGTGATGGGGTGAAACAGTTTATGGTTCTAGGGGAAACCAAGCCTGAAACCAAGGAGGAAAATGTTTACGTTTCTGTGGGTTAATACTGCTTTGAATTCTCACTATAAAATTTCTCATCTCTTCTCTCCTGAGTATTTTGTAATCATTTACTATTTCATGAGATAGGTTAACTTCAACTCTAGTTTTCATGTGGGGCAAGAACTATAAAGAGATAAAACAACTTGCTTCCCATTCCTCTGTAAATCAAGTGGGAAGAGCAGTCCTTTGTACCTTTGTACAGCAAGGCCACCTTTAGGACCTGATTATTTTAGGACAGTCAGTATGCCTGGGGATGTGGCACTGGAACTCTCCAGGGTCTTTTCTCCCACTTCCCATTAATTTTTAAAAACATTTTAAAATTGATTTCAGAGGGGAAGGAAGAGAGATAAAAACAACAATGATGAGAATCATTGATCAGCTGCCTCCTGCACGCCCCCTCCTGGGGATTGAGACCGCAACCTAGGCACGTGCCCTGACTGGAAGCAAACCCAGGACTTTTCAGTCTGTAGGCTGACACTATATCCACTGAGCCGAACCAGCCAGGGCCACTTCCCATTAATTACTATAATCTAACTGCAGGCTGAAGATGACTGAGTTGTTTTGTCTGGAGACTTCTGTCTACACCAAACCAATGACCTGGAAATGAAAGGCTTTGAAGTACATCCCCAACCCCCTTATTCATGGCCTTTTACTAATGAAATGAACCCGAGGCCTGAAAATGAACTGCCTCACAGTGAACTGGAAAGGGCAGCCTGTGACTAACCCCATACCTGCTGGTCTGGTCTACCAGGAATGGTCGGTAGAGAAACAGAGTTTTACCTTCTTTCTCTAGCAGGGCATAGTATAACCCGTTGGCTTTAGGAACAAAAAAACCTTTTGCTGGCTTCCAATGACCTAGCTGCCACCTTGAGTCTAATCTAATCCAAATAGTTATTTTTCAAAGTTATTTCCTTATCCAGAAGCTTATATTGTGACTTTCAGAATGAAGACAGATGGAAGCAAACTGAATTAAGAATTCAAAAGCCTGGGACGGAATGGTATCCCATTGCATGCATCGGCCACATTTTATTTCTCTGTCTGTGGACACTTGGGTTGCTTCTTCTACCTTTTGGCTATTGTGAATAATGGCCTACGAACATGGGTGTATAAATATGTCTCCCTGCTTTCAATTCTTTCGGGTATATAATTAAGTGTAATTTCTGGATCATATGGCAAATTTGGGAAATTCTGACATATCGTACAAACATGGAGGAACCTCGAGGACATTATTTTATTTATTTATTATCCCCCCCCCCCCCCCCCCCCCGCCCCGGACATTATTTTAAAGTGAAATAAGCTATCCACGGGAGAAGTAGACTACAGCCACAAAAGAAGACATACACTATGAGTCCACTCATGAGGTATTTAAAAATGGTAAAAATAGAAATGGTTAGGTACAGGTGGGACAAAAGTAGGTTTATAACGACTTGTATGGAAAATAGAAGAATAAACTCTGTTTCCAATACAACTGCAAACCTACTCTGCCCCACCCTTTATATTTTACAATTAAAAAATAATTTTAGCCCTGGCTGGTTTGGCTCAGTGGATAGAGCATCAGCCTGAAAGGTCCCAGGTTCGATTCCGGTCAAGGGCATGTACCTTAGTTGCGGGCACATCCCCAGTGGGAGGTGTGCAGGAGGCAGCTGATCGATGTTTCTCTCTCATTGACATTTTTAACTATCTCTTTTCCTTCCTCTCTGTAAAAAATAAATATATATATTTTTAAATAAATACTTTTAAACCAGGCTCTACTATGTGTGGTAAGCCTCATGTCTGGTGGGGAGCAACCCTGGGAGAGAAGCAAGCGGAGCCCTCAGCGGGCGGGCTCCGGGGGCGGGGGCGCCGGCCGGCCCGGAGGTGCGGCTGGGGAGACGCGGAAAAGGAAGGTCCGGTAAACTCGGTCACAAGGTCCACTTTCCTCAGGGCTGTCCCCGCGGGGCGCAGGGCTTCTTTCGCCACAGGAAGTGTGTGTCTCCTCGCTTTCACAACTCCCTTGCAGTCAAGACTGTTCTGACGAGAGGAGCTCCTCGCCTAGAGCTCGCGCCTTCCTCTCAGGAATCGTCCCCCGCGGACCCCGGTTTCCTAAAGATTCCACGTCTTTCCCAACATGGGTGCGGGGCCAGGCCAGGCCAACCGCCCCCCGCCCAGGCCCCGCCTGGCCGGCGCGCCGGGACGTGCGGGCGGGAGAGACGGCCGCCCAGCGCCCCGGAAGTCACCACCCCCGGGCCCGCGGAGGTCCCCGCCTCCCGTCTTCCGATTGGCCGGGAGGTGGGAATGACGCGTGACGCGCGGGGCTCGGCCCCGCCCCCTACGCCCCTGGCAAGCGGTTAGCGTAGGGCGGGGAGGAGTTGTGTGCGGTCCTTGGCGGCCATTACCCGGAACTAACCCCGGCCTTGGCAGGGCCTGTGGGAGGGGGCTGGCGGGGAGGGAAGTGGGCGTGAGGAGGGAAGGGAAGGGAGGGGAGAAGGAGAGAAGGGCGGAGTAGGAGGGAGGGGAAGGGGCGGGGTGGGAGCGGGTCACGTGATCCGTCATGGAGGCGGTGGCGGCGGCAGCGGCGGCGGCCGGGAGGAGCTGCCGGGGTAGAAGCCGCACTTGTTAGTGTCAGGGGAGAGGAGGGGTCCGGGGGACGCCGACACCGTCACCCCGGGACGCCGAGGAGAAGGTGGGAGTCGGGGGGGGTGGGGGCGAGACCAGGCTCCGACCCCCGGCCGAGGGGATGAAGGGAGCATGGGCGCCAAGGAGTCACGGATCGGATTCCTCAGCTACGAGGAGGCGCTGAGGAGAGGTGAGGGGGGAGGGGTCTGGGCGAGCTGCCGGGAAGGGAAGGCCGGCGACGGGCTGCCCCGAGGGTGGGTGACGGCGCCGGGAGGGGAGGCGGAGGGTGTGGGTCGCCCGCGGCGGGAGGGCGAGGAGGCCGGCGGTGGGGAACGTTGCGGGGGAGGAGGGTCGGGGTGGGAGCGGTGTCGGGGATTGGGGCTGTCTGTAGGGAAGGGGGCGAAGCTTCGCCGGAGGGAGAGGTGTCTGGCGCTTGCAGGGCAGTAGAGCCCCTGCTCTCAGTGGTGTGGTTGTTACCTGGATGGGTCCAGGGAAGTCCTCCACTCCCCCCTTTTCTTGGGTGGCACTAGCCCTTTCAACCCCCCTCGCCCCCTTCCTGCCATTTTCTCACATCCCTCCTTCATAAAAATGTCCAACAACACCCTCACCTCGTACCTAACAAACAGCCTTGCCTGGTAGGGAGGAGAGGAGGCGGCTGCCTAGAGCCCTCTTCCCTCTTGGCCGGGAAGAAGCCCCTTCCTCCATTGGTGGAGTCTCTCTGCCTTTTCCGAGGGCCCTGGCCGGCCGGTCTCTTGGGGGCTGTCACCATCCACACCCTTTGAGCGGCTGACTTTGCTGAGAACGACCTGAAATTAAGTTGTGTGTGTGTGTGTGTGTGTGTGTGTGTGTTTTGGAGGTGAGATGAGCCTAGACAGCTGGTGTAGCCACAAGACCTAAGTCTTGGGTTTCATATCATCTCCTCCGATGTTGGCCAGAGCCTCCTTAATGCACTTGATCCGCCGTGCTCGCCCCCTCTCTCCCCATAAAATGGCATTCGGAAGCCCAGCGTTCTGATGTTGTAGCTCCCTGTAGAGACCGGCCTCGCTGCCAGCTCCGGCCTGCTGACTCCTGGCCCTGAGGATGCACACACAGGGTGTTGTTAGCAGCCCCAACCCCCTACCACTCACTCCGATGCCGCGGTCCGGCCATGGTCATGGCTAAGGCGCACGCTAACTGGAAGTGTCTATGGCTCAGTTTATGGCTGGAAGGTGACTCGATTTTTTTCGTGACGGGTTTGAGTGTGTGTGTGTGTGTGTGTGTGCGCGTGTGCGCGCGCGCGCGCTTCTATTTATTTGTGACACTTAATGGATTTTCTTGGTAAGGTGACAAACATTAAGCAGGTTAGATGCTAAAACATTATTTTTAACTGGTTTCCAACTCAAATAACCAAGCCATGCTTCAGGTGACAGTTTTTTTTTATTTTTAATACCTAAGAGAAATTTGATTTAAAGGCATTCAAGACGAGAATTTAGTAGTGAACTCTTAATGTGTAGGAAGACAAGGGGTTAAGTTCAGTGGATCATCACCTGGAAACAATTACAGGTTAGAGGTATTGTGGACTGACCAGAATTAGAGAAACTATGCTTTTTATGTCTTTTCCTGCAGAACAGTATAATGATTGTTGCATGGACAGTCTCGCTTGAACTTTTTTTCCTCGCCTCAATATGAGAAATATTCCAAATTCTTGATGTGGTTCCAGCTCTAGTAGGCTAGTCATTTCCGGGATGCTGTTGAGCTTGACAGGTCTGGCCTCAATTAGGCAATGGCTTAGATGGCGTGAAAGAGGACATCAGTCAAACTGATTTACAGGTTCAGGGTTCAGAAGAGTTTCGTTTCTTAAGTTGAAAGGTGATGTAGTTGGCATTTAGGAATTCTAAAATTAAACTTTTGTCCATATCTAGCCCGATTAATCTCATATCAAACTAAGGTTGTACCTTTGCATATAAACTAAATTAATAGTTGGTGCATTTTAAACTGATTTGACTGAAGGTCTTTGTTAGATTTGTTATGAAGTGTATACCTGTTGAATTTTATTTTATTTTATTTTTTTAATATTTTATTGATTTTTTTTACAGAGAGGAAGGGAGAGAGATAGAGAGCCAGAAGCGTCGATGAGAGAGAAACATCAGCCGCCCCCTGCACGCTCCCCACCGGGGATGTGCCCGCAACCAAGAAACATGCCCCTGGACCAGAATCGAACCCGGGACCCCTCAGTCCGCAGACTGATGCTCTACCACTGAGCCAAACCGGTTTCGGCCCTGTTGAATTTTAAAACATATATTTGAAGAAGTAGTAAAATACTTGTTCAAATCTTATATAACTATTTGAATAGATTTATATTTGATCAGTTTTGCTGTAGGGGAAAATTAAAGCAAAAGAAGCAAGTTGATAAAGTAACATTTCTAAATGTAAATAGGAGCTATTTTTTAAGTAGGTAATTCTTTTGAACATGATATTGTTTACTCTGATTAATGTCAGACTTTAATGTAGATTTTTTTTTTTTAGTAAGGTTATAAAAGAATTTATAAAGCTTTTGATAGAGCTATAAATGGTTTGAGAACTTTTGGGGGTACTTGAGTAATCTAAATTGGTACTAAAACCTCCATCCATTAATCTCACCTGCTTATTTATATTGTGTAAGATGACTGGAGGGAGATGAGAAAGGTGGATTGAACAAACACAATGTGTTAAATGAATCATTGTATAAGTAAAAAGCAAGCTTGATAAATTACTGAAATACCTATCCCTTTGGCTTTACTTAAAATTATTGAGCACTAAAATAATGCTAACCATAATTAGGTAATATTAAAATAATAAGTATATTTTGCCTCATGCAAACTGGACTTGGAGGCAGTTTATCTTGGAGAAAGGGCCCTGGAAATGGAGTGTTATGCTAATAGGAGATAACACTTATTGGACCGGAGTGAAAGGGCAGTCTAGTGACTTCTTATTTGTTTACATTTCAGAAGCTCTTGAATTTAGGAAGATTGGTTTTGCCTACTAATTTGGCTAGTCTGTATGTCAGTTATATAAATGCTAATATAAATACCTGAAAGTAAACCTTAACTTTTTTTTTTTTTTTTTTAAAGGGAGGTGTATTAGTGGTGGCTTTTATTTTTGACTTGTATCTGTTTTTCTTGAATATCTTGGATAAAACACAAGCCTTCCCTTGAAGACTTGACTTGTTTTAGATGGCATGTATTTTGTAAAGTTTACTGCAGTTAGTGGGTCCTGAGAATTTTAGCAGCTATGTTCTTTATTTTTTCACTTTTAAGTTTGCACATAAGTGTGTGGTTTGTATATTCCTAAATATTATTTGTAATGCTTGGAATATAGTATGAAAAAAGTTGAAAGATGAATTACAGTTTCAGAGCATTTCAAAACTCCAAGAAACTTTAAAATCTTATCCAATTCTTCTTTTTCCCATTCCTCTCTTTTTTCATCATTCTGGAAACAGAATTATAAGGGTTTATTTTCCCCCCAAAGCTTGCTGAATTAAAATTATTTTTAGTTTTTAAATTGTGGAAATAAAATACAGTGAATAAAATGTATTCTATCCCCTTTTATTAAGTAGAATTTGGCACTTTGACTGGATTAAGTAGCTGGGTGAATGAACTATATAACATGTCAAAAAATTATGTTGTGGATTCATGTTTTTGAGTGTACCTTTGCTTATTAATTCTTCAAATTTTTACTGAGCCCTGCCGATGACTTAGGCACTGAAGGAACAAAGATTACCAACACCCTCTTTCACTGATATATATATACCTTAAAGTGTATGCAAGACGATCCATGGGAAGAGGTGGGAACCAAATTTTAGAACTTCTATTTAAATTTCCATTTTGTAAGTGTTTGGTAATTACATAATATTAAAAATAATAGAATATATGTATATATAATTTATAAATGATTAACATTTAGTATATTAAGTGCGATGGTAAAGTGGAAGAAAATGATAGTGGAATGCCAAGTGTGTGTGGGTGTATTTGGTGGCCTGGAAGTGTCCTAACAGTGTATGTGCTCAATAACTGTGTTAAATAATTTGCTTTCTTAGTGACTTAAAGGTTGTGTTTGCTAGTGGAATAATTAAGCATTTAATAGTTGAAGATTCTGCTACTTTTCATTTTGCTTATCCATCAACCCTAATATAGTCTAAAACCTTGACTCCTCAACCAATATTTTATTCCCCAAATTTCATAGTATTAATATTAAAATTTCACTAGTATTATACATTTATGATGTGATGTTAGCTGGTTTAGTGTAATACATCATTGTATGAATGAAAGTTGAATTCACAGTTGGTCCCTTCTGAGGTGTTCTGTTCTTTCTTATTAAGCACTTATTTGCCTTCATCTGAATTTATTAAATTTACCAGTGAACTTTCTAGCATTAGAATGGAATTGTAAGTGGGCTTTTTAAACTATCTTTATTGTTGGAAGTATTACAGATGTCCCCTTTGTTTGTTTTCTTTTCTCCATTGGCCTCACCACCCTGTATCCTCCCCTTCCAGGCCTTCACCACACTATTATTTGTGTCCATGTGTTATGGAATTTTAAGTTTTGATTAAGCATTTGCAAGTATACTACCCAGCTATTGTTGTATATAAAGGAGAGAAATAGGTCAGTTTTGAATTAGTCTGCTTATTTGTAGTCACTTAAATAGTTACAAAGGTGTTATTCTTCATAATAAATAGTTACAAAGGTTTAAATAGTTACAAAAGTGTGGTTCTCCAGTTTGATACTACATAACGAGCATCAGTGATAAAGAGAAGGTAAATGTACCAATGAACCATGAATGTAGGGGGGTGAGCAGAATGAGGTGTTGTCACTTTGATGATGAATGGCCTCTGGTTTACTAAATTGGACAGCTTTTATTTTGTGTTTTTCTTGTTTCTTGTTTGTCCTTGTGCTTCGTTAGTAAGACCTCACAGTGAGAGCATTTAGAATTACCATACAGAAAGAGTTGGGATGTGGTGACCAACCAGTAGCTAAGAGTTTTCTCAGGAGAAAGGGAAGTTTTTGGCACTTGATTATATGATAGGTTACAGGAAAAATTTGCTGTGACTATAGAAAATCTGGTTTTGGAGCACTAGAGATTAATGCTGAGAGTTTAGATTAGAAACTTTAAAGTTCAACAGCTGCAGGGGTGGCAGGTTTTTATTTATGAACTAGAGGCCCGGTGCATGGATTT